ATAAAGTTTGTTTTTTTAGGTGTACAGAATCTTAAGCATTTTTAATGCAAAGTCAAAAACTTCAATAAAAAAGTAGATTTTCTTAAAAGCAGTAATGAAATAGAATTATCAACTGTACATACTGTATTTTTATAGTGTGTTCATTATTAAAAAGACATAAAGCTGCTTCCTGGCACTGACTTTATTTAAAAACACCTCCTCAGAGGCAAACTGAACATGCAGAACAGCGGTTTAAAGGCCAGCATACAGACAGCTTTATTTTAAAAACACTGGCATTCAAAAGTAGAACCATATTACTGAAAAAAAATCAATTTTCCAAGCTTCATGCAAGGGATTTGTGCTTCTTCACAGCAGAAATTACACCTTCATGGTAACTAACCGTCACCATCCCCTCTTCCAATTCCAGTCAGGACCATACAGGTTAGACGGAACACTGAGGGTAGGATTTTCCAGAAAATTTGCTGGTGAGCTTCTGCAGAACAACTTTAAACTCAGGAAAATCAACCTGAGAGCTGTCCCTACTAATAATACACCATAATAATAACCATAATTCTGGCTTACACAAAAACTTAATTCATAACTTTTATGTAAGGCGTTTTTGTTTTGTAGTGTATTTAGTTTTTCATTTAGCTTCTATATTCGGCAAAAGCAGGTATTTTTTGTTTTGTCCACAAATGAAATGACAGTAAGCTTGGAACATTGTCAACATTTTTAAAGTTGATTTCTTTAAGGAACAGATATAAAATAATGCGTACAAATGGAACAAAGTCTATGGGTTCCAATACTTGTTTGTAAATGCTCTTGCTGGATACTGTTGGCAGCATTACTGACATGAAAAAATCTAAATTTCCACCTAAAAATCAAAGATGTTCTTGTGTCTTAATACTGCTTAAAGCATTTCTTCACTGTAGATACAGACAGGGAAAGGCTATACCTTTATATGTATAACCAACCCAAAAACCAAACATCCAGTGAAAAACAGACTGAGATTATCATTCTGGTGCTTCAGTCAGCCTCAGGATAAAACAGTAAAACTGTATTAAAATTCCATCAAATGATTGCACATTTCTCCATTACTGATGACTATAAATACTGGATTATTGAACAGACATGGGGAGTAATGACACCTTTCAGAAACACATTACTGATGCACATGAAATTCCTTTTACTATCCTCTTACTCCAGAAAATAGCTGCTCACAAAACGTTCTGATGCAGTCACAAACAAGGGGCAGTGCTTTGTGATCCATAGAAAGCATTCATTAATAAAACTGTCGAAACGCAATGCATGCCACTCAGATGTATATAAAGATGGCAAAGGTTGAGTCATTTTGGCCCCACAGAGGATACCAGCTCTTGGAGAGTGTGGAACTGAATTCAGGCCAGCAAGGTACCACTTTATATCTCTTGCCCTTCAAGAATCACCCACCTTTTGTTCACTGAAGGTAATGGATTCCAAGTAAAAGGCATTCTGACAAGGCGTAGAAACAACAGTCTGAGCCCCTACAGTCTACAACTCCATCTCCACATCCTCCTCCATACCGGCCTGTGAGCCTGGGCCGGTATACAACATGGAGCAGCTGCGGTGCTGCTGGGCCTCTGTGTCTGTATTCTTCACCAGCAGAGGCTCTTTCGAGCTGCTGGCCGCCAGCTGCTGGACTCTCTGCATTGAGTCTTTCAGTCTCCTAGGCAGCACCTCCGGGGGGGGTCTCCACAGCACCAGCTCCATGCACAAGTGATTCCTACCGGGACGGAACAACGAAGATTTTAAACAACTGAACATTAAACTAAGCAGACTTCAAGACGTCACTAATATCAATGACCAGCAGCGGTGAAAAACTGGTATTGATGAAAACCTACAGTACTTAACTGATTCAAGAAGCAAAGCTTTGACCACGCAAGAGTCCAGTTTCAGATGAGGTTCAATTAAGTTTGTCTCTAGAAAATACTACCTTTTAACACAAAAACACGTCTACATCTTGAGCAACAGCCTTAGTGCCGTGAGACCCTCCAAGAAACAGACTTTAGACAAGCACGATTTAGTGCGACGTGCTTTTCTATGGACTACTGTACAGTATATATGGTATTGTCGAAAACTAAATATTCTGTCATATGTGTTGTTCACTCCTATTAGTAAGATATTTAGCCTTCAGACGAGCTCTATCTTGAAAGAAAGGTCCGCTCAGACAGTGGTCACACTGCAAGTGGCACAGAGCAGGACGGAATAACCCACAGGAGCAGACAGGCTCGACTCACATGGACTCCACCACTTTCTTTGGGATGATGTCCGCGATGCCGCGCTGCAGGCCTTCTCGCAGGCTGTCCGATATCACAAGCACCGGCTTCCTGTCCGCGGACTCCGTTTCCAAGTCATCCTCGTCGTCGTCCTCGAGCGTGATCCTGAAAGAAGGAAAACACCAGGAAATGCCGCCGCAGCACAGGCACCGATGTCGGCGACATGAAACACACAATCGTGTGTTTACAACCCCGGAGAGCAAAGCCTTGTGATCGTTGAAAAGCAACAGGCAATACTGTAAACCATGCACTGCCTTACCATAGTCTTATAAAGAGTGTGAGCCAGTGAGGGCAGGCTAGAGCACATTTTGCTCTGGATTCTTGTCTAGCCCATACCCCCTGTAGCAGTCGCCCTTCTTCCGATTAGTGTGACGCTCCTCAATAGCCCAGCCAGCGGCTCTGACAATCTTAGTCATCCAGCAACACACTGACCCTGTGTTCTACATCTCACTCAGCGCTGTAAACCGGTCATGCTGCCATCGATCCACCGCGTTCGCCCCACAGCTCACTGCCTCCACAGACGCCTGCCCCTGCCCCGGCGGTGAAGCCCCAGCGCCCCCACGCCCCCACACCTGTCCTCAATCTCCTGCAGCCTCTGCACAGCGGCGACCCGGGCCTCCACCTCCATGGAGAAGGCCTCTGGCTCCGGCGCGGCACGCGGGGGGGAGCCCACGCCCTGTCCCGGAGCGGCGGCTTGCTGGGCGGTCTGCAGCGGAGGAGCTGCCAGCTGGGGGGCCCAAGCGCCCCCCCCCTGCTGCCAAGGAGCCTGGTAGAAGAGACGAACAGCTTCTTCCGCCAGTCTTCGCCTCTTGGGGCTGCTGGCTCTGTAAGCACAGAATTCAAACTGCTATGACTTGCATTTCTGCATCCAGTGCTGCTTTCTCCCACCTCGTGCGTACTGGGCTCCGTTTCCGTCCAGAGTGCTCTCTAGGGGGAGTCTGCATGTTCTCTATGCCTACATACGTTTTCTCCAGATTGGTGGGCTTCTTCCTACTTTCCAAAGACATGCTGGCTGGGTTAACTGCTGTCTCCAAATGACCAAAGGTACTTGTGTATGTGCCCCGCAAAGGACTGCTGTCCTGCCCAGGGCGAAATTCCACCTCCTGCCTGCCGGGTTATGCTCCAGCACACTGTAAGACCCTTACCTGGAATAGACAGCTTTCTGAATGTGGGTGGACGGATCACAAAGAAATAACTGAACCCATCATACCACATTACTGAAGTATGCAAATACTCACACTCACAACTGCTCAGAAACACAGTATATTGGACTACCGGTCATGTTGTTGAAACTTGCCCAGTGCACGATCCGTTTCCACTCTGATGTCAACTGCAATTATTTTAAAAATGATGCTGTCCTTTTAATCTTACGTGGTGACATAAAAGCTAGAGGTTGCTGTGATTAAGGCCAGAACCACCATTTAGGAGTATTTCACTTCATTTAGATACTTACCCATCATCACTCCTTCTCCTGTGCTTTCTTTTGAATCGTCTCTCCCAGCAACTAAATATAAATGAAAAACATGAGTTGTCATATTATTCTCAGTCATCATGAGTTTCAAACAGTTTAAGAAGTTTAAGAAAAGGGGAAGGCAGGAAAATTAATAATTCATTGATTTATGGAAAACTTTCTGAAAAAAACCTGTGCAAATTCTTCACTATCATTAAACAGGATGAAGTTGGAATTTATTGGAAGGTGACTAAGTGTACATTGCTGATTACAAATTATATTCATTTTTAATTAGAAGCCTTCAAAAATAAATAGATTATAATAATTACAGAACTATAAAATGCATATAATGGAGTTTCTCATTAAAGAAAGTCACTAACAGAAAGCATATGGCCCCAATATAACCAGTTTCCACTTTCAGAACCAGAAGTGCAGAGTCTCTGGGTTTTTTGCATCATCCAAACTAGGACAGATTTATCTAGGTTGTGAAGTCGTACAAGTTCAAGTTTTATTTATTCGGTAAAACCAAATGTTTTCCTGAAGCAACATTATATTCTAATAAATTATACTACAGAAATCCTTTTAGTTAACTTTCTGGAAAATAAACAGCATTTTGGCAAGCACTAGCGACACTCTAAAAGTTCAAATGACAAAGTGTTCGGTGCATTTACAAGGCACTGACATAAGAAGGTAGACAACAGGATATAAATGTAAAGTCTAGCTTCACAGAGAAGGGGTTTGTATTTAGCATTGTGCACCTGCAGTGCTCTTTTCCCTCTAACAATGCTATTGGGTCTGTAGCACACAGTCATTCTACTGTACCTCTTCCCCTCTATAATGTTTTGGTGTAAACTACTGTAATCATGATTCTGCGGGCATTTCCAGCTATTGCAATTGAATAAGCTTGACTTAACTTGAAAAGTGGATCCTATAAAGAGAAAGTTAGCAGGTTTTGGACACCAAGTTGCTACTCTTAATTAAGTTAGAAAGAAAAACAAATGCAGCTCCTTGAATATGTCAGTAAGGTCAACTTAGAACGAATGTCAAAGATTCACCTTCTACAACATGCTGTTGGTACACTTTCAGAGTAGAGTTTACAGAACACACAATACATTAGCTTTTGGAAAGGCACTGGAAACGTCCAGGTGGTGCTCTAGGGCAGGGGCAGCACAGTGGTCAGCACTGCTGCCTCGCAGCACCAGGGGCCCTGGGTTCGAGGCCTGGCCTGGGGTGCTCTCTGTGTGGAGTCTCCATGTTCTCCTTGGGTCCACATGGTTTTCCTCCCTCATTCCACAAACATACTGGCAGGTTAACTGGCGTTTGGGAAAACTGGCCCTGGTGTGAATGCGTGCCTGTCTGAGCCTGTGATGGCCTGGCCTCCCGTCTGGGCTGTACTCTGCTTGTGCCCCTGTAACCTCTGTAATATCCTAAATTGGATCAGCAGCTATTTAAAGT